TCTTCAATAAAATATTCCCAGGATGTCACATGCAGTCAAAATCTACTGACCGATATTGCTATTTTTATGATCAAATCAATGGGAGCATCTGAAAAACAAATACCAAAGCTATATGCTTGAAAGTATCACAAAGTGTAATTTCATGCAATTGGTCGCAGCCAGATATGTCTAGCTTTAGATTTGCTTGTATTAAATCCATCTTGCAATAAAGGACAGAGGCATTCATACAGGTGTGTGAGAGTTGTTCGCTCTGAAACGTAACTCAGAAGCAACTTGGGGATGTAATTGTGAGACTGAATTCCAGTTCTGTCATTAGTTGGACACAAGCAGGAGATCCTCAGGTAGAAATTGGGAGGTTAAGTTACCTCTTTTTTTGCCTGTGTTGTGACTACAAGATTGGTGTTGGTAGGTATTTAATGCTGTGGTTTCATAGTTCAGGACTTAAAAAACTGCACCGTGATGGAGAAGCTCAAGGACAAGATTGTTGTCGCTTCTCCGTTCTGACAACTCTGAAATAAAAATCAACTGGTTTTGTTATTCTGATTTTTATTCTCTAAAGAAGGATTAATTCAGGACAGTACTAAGGGCTGGCATGTGCACAAGGCTGGGCTTAATTACCACAGTAGTCCCATCTAGTTAAACTGTCCATGAAGGTTAACAAGCCTCTGGTTAGAGGCATGACCACAAAATTGTGTAGAAAAATGTGAGCTGTATTTTATTGATATGTGGTTTCTTTCCTTACAAAGAATTTAAGGCAAGGAACCTTTCATCTGCTTGGAGTAGAGGGAAAAGAGTTGATACCAATAGTTAGGAGCAGCATGGTCTGCAGTCACACAGCATATAAATGGAGTTTGGAATTAAGTACTCAGGACTAACATTTGTCTCTCTATAGACAAGGTTTCACCCTATCCATGTTTTCCCCCTAGTTTTCCCTCTCCCTGCCTTATAAATACAGTATATAATGTACTTATTTAAAAAGAGATTTAGAGTAGAGCAATAGACTGAGTAAAGAAGGAAGAGCCCTTTGAAAAGTTTGTTCATTTTGCTTATGCATGTCCTTTTTAACACCATTTATATAACTGGTTCCAGTGAATCACTTTTTCAGTAAAAATTCATCTGGCATAGCAATAGTTTTTCAGTTTCTTGCAGAACTGAAACAGATCTTTGGACATTAAGGCCTTAAGGCAATTTGGCCAACAAGTTGACTCTGTGTTTTCCTCCTACAGTGAAAATAGCTTAAATTGATTAAAATAAACCTCAGTTCAGTCAAGAAAATATGTTATATATGATACTTCTCAACTGGTTTAAGTGGATGTAGCTCTGTTGAAATTGGTGTTTCCGTGCCAGTTCGAACCAGCTCAGTATCTGACCAAAACATATTGCAGAACGACAGATAAAATCAAAGTCTGTCTTTCCCCAGGTCTAGGTTAGCTTTTCAGCAATGCTTCAAGTCAGTTCAGTTCTCTTTCCAGCCAGCACTTTTCTGCACCAAAATAGATTACTGTGTGAATCTGTACTTTATTAGTTGAACTTCTATGTGTATCTCAGACTTGTTATGCAGCACTGTCCGGCTGCATCTTGTTTTTCAGACCTTTGCCATAAATGAATGGACAGTGTTATGGTTGGACTATTTACTTATGAAGTAAAGGAAGTCTTTATTTTTTTCCAGTTTTTATAGGTAAGTTTCTGCTTGCATATATGTCTTTAATTCACATTTGTAAACTGAAATTCAAGGGTGATCTCAGGTTCTGCTGAGAACAATGCAGCTTGTCCTTTAACCTTACTGGATCTCAGGCTTTTTCTGTGGAGAGCAGAAGCTGAATTGGTAAACAACAGGTACAATTTGAATTGTAATGTTCCTCTCCCTTGTAAGTTTGGATCATACTCTTAATGCCTATATGATGCCTGAACTACTCATTACAGAACATGTACTTCAGTACTAAGTTTTTATTTGTGGTATTGGATATTAAAATATAATCACCGACACTGACTCCAGTGCCATATTACTAGTACTGAACCATGGCTGCATCTCATAATGATCCTGACTACTTTGCCTGTGTGATTTAAAGACCTGCCTCGGGGCATTGGCACATCTGTAGCAGATGCATTGCATGCAATATGTAACAGAGATAAAAAGAAATTGGCACTTCCTATAGTTTTCGTCCAGATGCCTCAGATGTGATATCTTATTTTGTTGTAATATGTGCACATAGAAAATTGTAAGGAAATCTCTTCCCTTGCTGCTCTTGGTAAGAACGTTTCCAGTAACTTCTTTTTTTCCCCACTTTAACCCTTACGTTCTGCACTCACTGCGGTATTGAGACTTAACAGAAAATAGAGAAAAAAACCTACCACAATGGTTTAAACAGCTTTTCCTTTTTATAGTATCCAAGCTGCTAAGTGCCTGGGATAACTGACTTCTACAGTACTTTCCAATTACTGATAAAATTCTGATTTACAAAATTTAGGATGATGTCAATAGTGTGGTATTCAATCTAAATGCTTCTCAAGTTCACATTAAGTAATATTTTCTGCCCCTCTTCTCTGATCTCGTGAGACCCCACCTAGAATACTGTGTTCAGCTCTGGAGTCCCCAACACAAGAAGGACATGGAGCTACTGGAACGAGTCCAGAGGAGGGCAATGAAGATGATCGGAGGGCTGGAGCACCTCTCCTATGAAGACAGGCTGAGAGAGTTGGGGCTGTTCAGCCTGGAGAAGAGAAGGCTCCGGGGTGATCTTATAGCAGCTTTCCAGTAGCTAAAGGAGGCCTACAGGAAAGCTGGAGAGGGACTTTTTACAAGGGCGTGTAGTGATAGGGCAAGGGGCAATGGATTTAAACTGAAAGCGGGGAGATTTAGATTAGATATAAGGAAGAAATTTTTTTTGTTGAGGGTGGTGAGGCACTGGAACAGGTTGCCCAGAGAAGTTGTGTGAATGCCCCATCCCTGGAAGTGTTCAAGGCCAGGTTGGATGAGGCTTTGGGCAACCTGGTGTAGTGGAGGATTTCTCTGTCCATGGCAGGGGGGTTGGAACTAGATGATCTTTAAGGTCCCTTCCAACCCTAACCATTCTATGATTCTATGATTTTCAACAATGAGACATATCAGAAATGAGTTCAAATATGTCAAGAAATGTGCACAAAATTGGCAATAAAAATACTGTATTTGGAGAGGTATATTTATGGAGCAATATATTTTCTGTTAGTAAAATGTTCCACATGACCTGTAATTTATTTCTTACAGTATCCTAATCCTAAAAACAAATAAAGGTTTATAACACTGTATAACATAGTTCATAAAAATTCAACCTAATAATTTTAGTTTGTTGTGAACTGTGTAATGATAGCACATCTGAGAGTTGCTGAGAGTCGTCTCTTTTCTTAGCTGAACATCTTCATCTGACAGAGAAGTCAGCTAGGTGCTACTTTAATGGTCATCTACAGTAGTCAAATGTTTTCCAAGTGCAGAAACTTTTTGTTGGCAATACAAAACAAAAACCTGAAAAAGCAAACAAAAAACCAACATGAAAACCTTTCAAACTTTTGTTTCATATGTTGATCTACATCTCAAGGCCTTTAACAGCATGACTATGTAGTTAGCATTTGGTGGTTTTTGCTAAGAAAGTTATTTGAGTAAATTTCGATACAGTATTATGTAAGTGATATTTATAATTTATATTGGTGCTAAAACTAGTTATAGTCTTGTAGTTTCTAGTTTCCAATACACTCGTCATACGTATCTCAGAGGGAGGGATTTCACTGCTTTAACTGCATCAGTATGGTTAAAGCAACAAAATTTGGAAATGTGAAGTGACCCTCAGACACAATTTACAGGTCTACCACTTACCGAAAACTTCCAGTACTGATGTCAAAGAGAGTTCAAGTTTCTGCTTACGTCTTTTTAGTTAAAGAAAAAAAAAAAAGTGTAAGAAATAAAATCATCCATATCATGCCACAGTTTTGGTATCTTACAGCCCTTCCCAAGTTACATGATAGTTGTTTTGCACAGTAAGATGTGTATGTGCATATATATATAAAAATTACTGTTATAACTGTACAGTCGGCCTATTAAATGTCATGCTTATGGGTAGAGAGGAAGCAAAATTAATTTTTGAGGTTTTATGGAGTATTTTGTAAGTTTAGGACTTCTTCACAGCAGCTAATGCTATCACACTAGGGTAGTGGGCCAGGGCAAGTACGAGTCTACACAGTAGGATTTCATCATGATGAGGCTTCATGGAAAATATTATATTCTCCAGCTGGATTGCATTTGCTTATTCCTAAGAGGCGCTTAGCTCCTGTTCAAAGGGCTAACAGAGTGCTGCCTCTTCACTTCTGCAGCAGCTTTCATAGCATCTTCCTCTGCCAATTACTGTCCTACTGCAGACCAAGCATCTTGGATACAAGAGGGAAAGTACTTATATCTGAACTTAATTTTTGAGTAAATATACTGTCATTGTATTTGTTACTTCTGCTCGTTATTTATATGTGTTCTTTAGAAAATGGACTCTTATGCGGCCATCATGTTTTGCATGTCCCTGTGCATCGCACAGGCCCACATTTATGTCTCCTGAGAAGCATAAAAACATGACAGTGAGGTCACAGAGAATTGTAGTTGTGATAAAGAAAAAAATACTAGATTTCAGGCTTCTTTTTTCTCTCTGGCAGTCAAAATCTACTTTAGAAATAATGGTAAAAATTTCCATTTCTGGTGATGCTGCAGTAAATGAGCTTTCGGTCATGATGGTTAATTTTATTTTGTTTGTTTGTTTTATCAAGTTGGGGTCTTTTTTGGGGTTTGATGTTTTGTTTTCTTTTCCTCCCCATTTGTATGGCAATTGCTCCTATGCTGGTTTTCTTTGCCTGTCTTGGAATTTGAGCTGCAGTAGTCACATAGAAATGATGAAATGATGAAAATTGACAGTAGCTAAACATATTTGAAAAAAAAAAATCCTGATTTTAGCATAAATAACTGAATGTTCCTCTTCTTTGTCTTACAGAACGGTTTACACAGTACAGCCCTAAAAACCTTAGACAAGCATGGAATAAGTAAGTCTTTTTTTTTTTTTTATATAATTACCCTTTTGACTCTTCAAAGTTATGATTCATGCCAAGCTGAAGTTATCATAGTTAACTTAATGGCTCTGTCCTTTTTAGTTACAGTACGAATGTGGAATTACTGAAGTATTATTACTGAAGTAGTATTCTTTCCTGCTTCTGCCAGTTTTGAATTGCCAGTTACCTGTGGATAGGGAGAAACTGTGTAGCGTTCTGTTTTCTCCTTGAGGATGTCAGTTGGCAAGTGTATCGAGCTCATTGAGAGATGCTGCATTACCGCTTTGGACCATCAGTTTTGAATCTTGTTTTCTCTGTTAAGAGACTTTTAAATAATATGTTTCTGATCAACTTTTGAGTGTTGTTTCCACAGACTCATCCTCTGTTGCCAGGTCCATCTGGTCATTGCTGTGAGCTGATGACCATACTGTTGTATATTTTAATTACCATGACTGAAGAAAGCCAATGTGAATTCACTGCCTTTTTTTTTCAGCTTTTGATGTTTCCTGAATTTTGTCACATTTACATCAGATTGATATCAAAGTAATGTGCTCAAAAAGAAAGGTTGCCTAGTAAGCCTAACCAATCATCTGTGTAAAGTTTATTAGATTTCTCAGCACATGAAGAATCTTTGTAGGCAGGATACTTGGGCAGCACTATAGTGAGTGATTAACATATTTTATATTGTGAAGAATGCATGCACAGTTTGAATTGGATGAGCAGGATAACAGCTATGTCAAAAACTTGTCTTGCCAGAAAAATTGTTAGAATTTTTCTCCACTTTCTTTTGACCAAAATTTTTTGCAACAAGGCTAAGCCTTTGCTGCACCAGCATTGCTGTTTTCTTTCTGATGCTCATTCCAGATTTTATTATTGGTACCACCTGGCTGACTTGTTGGTAGTTTACCAAGGAGTTCAAGAGTTAAATCAGCAGGAGACCGAAGCATCTCCTCCTCCAAGTTCACCACTGAAGCTGAAGATACAAAATGTTTTGGTGAAGGAGCTTCCTTGTTATAAGTAAAAAAGTTATCAATAGAGTAGAAGTCCAAATCCTTTCTCAATATCCTAATTTATTAGCAATGAGTGTGTCTACAGCTCTAAAATTCATAGCATGGTCACTTGTCCAAGATGTGATGAGGTTTATACTCACTTTGCCATTTTATTTTTTCTTCTCCGTATGCTCCTTCCCAAACCAATTTGGTCCATTGTTTTGGACCGAAGCACAAAGGCATTTTTCATTTAAAAAACAAACAAACAAACAACTTTTGAAATTGACTGAGGGAGGAGAAGTCTCTTAATGTAACAAGATCATAGTTAAAATTAGATGTTGGTTGTTGGATGTGATACCATCAGTGTTCATCCTTTGCGTCAGAACTTGTATTTCTGCAATGCCAGGCTTCTTTCATGACCCTGTAGCTTGCTCTGCATTACTGCTGGATCCTCCATGGTTAGGAGTAACTTTCTGAGACACATGGAGCTGTCACTGAAGCCAGGGCAGGCCTTCACAAAGGTTGTCACCTACCTGACTTAATTGACTTTCAACGGTCCATGGAAGAGTTCCTGGCTTGTCCAGTTCAGACTGGGAGCCTAATTTGGTAGCTTTCGTGGAAGAGTCCAGCTCTTGTTTACTCTATAGAGATCAACAGGAAGATTAGCTTCACTTATGGTTGGCTTTTGTGAATATCTCATATGGTTTTGCCAATTCTTGTGAACCTTGTGGGCATCTTGCAATGTTTGACGCTACCTCAGTCTTACTGAAATAATGTAATTCCCTGAAAGTTACAGCTTTGGTTTTAAAAAGTAAGTCACTCAAATTGTCTATATTCTGTCTTTTGACAATGAACGAACTTGCAAGTTCTTTTTTCTTTGAAAGGAGTTAATGAAGTCTAAAAGTTTGGAAGAAGCAATTATATTCACATAGGCAATTAGATCTGGATTGGGAAAGAGGGACTAGGAAGCTAATATTGATGTGCATGTGTTTGCTTGGGGGCGTATATATGCGTAAGTAATGTGAATAGATACTGGTACACTATTCCATCCATTCTGCAGGCATGGACTGAGTGGTTTTCTATATTTTAACAGTAGTTAGACTCAGCAGTATCTCCAGTGTATGAATAAGTGCAATAATAGATTTCAATTTAAAAATTTGATATCCTATATTTCCTTCAAGAACATTGCATGAAGTTTCTGCTTTTGTAAAATACAAAAAAAGAACAAAAATCAGTTTGCTTAGAAGAAACCCTATGTCTCTGAGACTTCATAATTGACACAAGTTACGATCACATCACAGCCTGACTCAAATAAGACCAGAGGTTTTTCATTTCTAAGAAACCTCTTTAAAAATATTTATACATTTTCAATGCTCCATGCATAAAGGATTTGCAATTTTGCAGCATAAATGAAGGGATTGAAAGACCAAAAGTAATGACAATACATAGAGTTCAGCACTTCATGTGTGCGGTTCTACTATAATAGGAAATATTCAGTGCCTCAAAATTATGTATCATTTACATTCAAAATGTAAAGGATTTTCTCTTTTTCTAATGTAAATCTTTATCTGTGTGCTGTATTAGAGCGCTGTTGCTTGCACAGCTGTAGTTAGGGATGTATAAACATTTCTGTTATAGACATTATATTCCCAAGGGTTTATAATTCAGCTATAAAACTTAACACATGGACAGACTGATTCATTCTAGGAATTTTATTTCTTTATTAGTATGTTCCAAAAAGCAGCAATATCTAATCTTTAAAAAAAAAATCCTTTTGACTTCTTGATTTAATTTGTTGAAGACCGTTGATGACACAAAAAGGTGCCATTTGAAATAAAATTGGTTTAAGAGTAGTTGGGATAAATGTGAGACCTAAGACATGGGGAAAAACATACAGCCTTTTGATTTAAATACCTATTGGTTTTGTTACAGAGTTACTTCCTCTGGACATCTTAATACCTTTTTAAAGATACGCCTTAAAGAACAATGTGTGGTCTTGGAAGGATTTGTGTGTTCTTAAACTTCTCTGAGATGAAGCATTTTATAGAGGGAGGATTGAGGTACAAAGAAATTAAGGAGTCTGTCACACAGAAACTGCCACACAAACTGTGAAACAGAGCATGACATTGAACTTTGTGCTCCCAAATTGGAAGAGAACATCTTTGATTTTCTAAACACAGTGGAGCTTTCAGCATCTACTGTTCCGTCTTTCAGGCACAGTCTGGTCGTACAGTCTGGTCCCACAGTCTGGTCCTTCATCTTGTTCATATATATGTTTTGAGGTCCTGGCATGGAAGAGTGAGAATATGTGTTTAGAAGTCTTCAAAGAGGCTTACTTCAAAACGTACATTATAATTCAATTTATGTAGGGAGAGGTTACGCGAAGGAATAGGTTACGAGAATAACACTCTTCCAACATCTACAGAGCCAGCTTCATGTTTGTAAGGCAGAAGGAACAGAGGCAGAAAACTGCAACCCCAAACCCCACAAAAGCTACAGATGGTAGATTGGGGCAAAATAATTGCACCTGATTGACTACACCAGCTTCTACAAGATGTGAATTTTAAAGGCAGAGCTAGACAATAGAACAATGATGGACACAAGCCAGTGGCTCTTTAATTCACAGTATAACTAGAAATTAGCTAAAAGCGTGGAACGTAGCAGCAATGACAAAGCGAAACCCAGCAGGCTCATTATATAAGAAGTCTGATCCCTAAAAGTCTTAAAACAGAATTGGTTAATATTAAAGGCTACATTTGGGAAGTGTTTGAGTGAAATAATGTAGCTATCACTTATAGTGAATTAAGTTCTTTGGAGACTTTAATACTTAATTTCTTCACTGATTGTCAAACTACGTAAAGATTATAAAGAGATAAAATGTGATTTATAAATTTTGTAGAAAATGCTTGTAATGTTAGGAAATAAAACTTGTCTTGACAGTTCCTTCTATCTAATATGAAACTTCACCTACATTACATTGTGGAATGTGATTATAAAATACTGATCTAAAAATAATTAAGATGTGGTAACCAGATCTTTCTATAGAGTTCATAATGAATTATATTTTCACCTTTTTTCCTGAACTTTTCTGTTCAATTATCTCTACAGATAATTGAATCTGTAGATTCAGATTCAATTATCCAGAACAGCTCTGCCTTCAGAATTCAATGCAACCTGTTTCAATTTGCAAAAGCTTCTCCACAATAATAAACCCTTACAGAAGAATAACAAAAGAGAACTAATTATCCTTGTGTATATTTGGTAGGATATAAAAAGCTTTTTCAGATCCTTCTGTTGTAAGGGGTTGCATTGTGAGAAATTAGGTTGGAAAGAAAAGGTGCAGTTGAAAACAAATTCTGCTCTGCATAAACAGGACTACTGCTTCGTAATTCCCCAACATGGCAGTATTGGTTATATAAATAAGACTGTATTCTCACTGCTAGTCACACTGCTGGGGATTTCTTCCTGTAACAAGATGGCCTCTGTACTTGAGACTTCCCTTTCTGAGGCCAGGGTGTTTAAAAGTTGCATTCCAGGATGAACTGGCCTGTTTTGGGACTGTTACTCAGTGAAAACTTCCTGAAGAAAACCAAGTGAGTGACTAGAGATAAGTCCATGTATTTTGAGTTTGTATTTCATTTAAGCATGACACAAACTATGGAATTATTTACAGCTGGGACTTGGGAAGGATTTGAGGAGGGTGTTTTTTGTGGTTTTTGTGGGTTTTGTTTTTAAGAAAATCTCTGCCTTAGTAGAGTTTTGACCAAAGACAAAACTCTTCTCTAGTTGATCACTTTTATCCCCTTCACCTCCTGTCCCTTCACCAGCATTGCTCGTTGTAACGTAGTCTGTGGTGCCACTGAAAGAATATTCCAGCTCTCAAGCACAGAGAGCACAGAAGGAACAAAGAGCTTTGGTGTTGTCATTGCTAAAATCTTTCCGATGCGTAAAACTAAGCAATAAGGATTTAAAAGTATACCTGTGCAGAAGGTGGATTATATGTGTATGACTGTGTGCAATTTGAGTATGTTGAAGTTGCACTGGGGCTCTCCCCTCACTTGCATTTGAGGAGTGATCAGGAATCATGCTGGGTGGAAGCAAGGATGGAAACCCAACACAAAAGTAAAGGGTTTTGCATAAGTGTGATTTAGAGGCATATAAACCTGCCTCTGTCTCCTGACGATTTGCAGTGATACTGCTGCACTGAAACCAAAATTTTTAATTTCCCATTTTGTTTCATATTTCTCATAAATTCCCCTTTATCAGTTGTTATCTTTTGGTTGAGGGACCTTAGGAATCACATCCTGACAAAGCCTGTGTTAACCGGTGATACAAAGATGATGTCATTTACCAGATAGTAAATTTATTACACTCTCTTTATAAAAAAAATGACTTCTCTGGTACTCGATAGCAGACAGATGGACCCGTCACGTGCAGTGGTGGTGGGCTGTGGGCAGGAGTCCTCCAGTGGAGAAGACCCAGGGGAGCAGGGCAGCCAGCACGGGGGAAGCACTCGAGCTGACACAGGAGCCCTCTGTGCTCGGAGAGACCTCGGCAGAAGCCCAGAATTTTTGTTACAAATATTTTCCTGACACTATTTTTTTGTTTAGTTCACAACTTAGGTTTGTTAAATTAATTTTGGGGTGGGGAAGCTCCTTATTAACACTTAAGTGTCTTTTTTGTGCCTGCTACTGTACATTGCACCCACTTAGTACCGTTTTATGTGTTTCTGGCACCATAAAGGAGCTCTGCTCTGAAAGTGCAAAAGGCAAAGATCTCATCCCAGCTCAGGAACGGTTGGTGCTAAGCTGAAATGCTCTGCAGGTTTTGTCAGGTTTATGGTAATGAATTTTATGATGCTGATTGAAGCCAATGACTGAGAAAGATCTCTAGTATTTCTCTATTTATCCTTTTGCCAAGATGAAAAATTATTTACAGTTTATATTTGAATGTTTCCTTCAAATTGGAGCTGTTGCAAATTGCTCACATGTTATAACTTTTACAAATATGGGAGGAGATTATTCCTAACAGACTCCATTGTTAGAATGTTTATCCTGACATTCAATTTATTTTTGCTTTAATCTAAATTCCCCCTTTTGTGTTGCTAAGCTTTATGTATTGTTATATCTTCTTCGCTCAGTTAAAAAAAATTAATAAACCATCTAAACTGGACCACAAAAGCTTTTGTCCTCTTTTTCAGAGTACTAATAACTCTATGTTGTTTCATTAGTAAAATTACATTGTTTCTATCCTACACCTTTCCAACCCATGACAGCTGTGAAAATACAGCCCCAATGTACATGGATGTTCTTTGTTGTCTTTTGCAACATCTAATTTAGTTTCTAGCATTGCAGTAGAGTTTCTTGGCATTATTATCTGTGAACCTATCTGTATTTTGGGGTTATTTTTTCACTGGAAGGAATTGTTTGTAATTCTCTAGCCTCTGTCTTGTTCGTAGATTTTCTGCCCACATATCTCACTTTTGTTAGCTTCTTTGTACTAATATTTTTGTCTTCTATGTCGTTTTCAACATTTAGTTTCATATAAGAATTGTTTCAGTATGCAGTGTATCCCTTAGCCCAGTTCATTAATAAAGATGTTAAATAAAACTGTGACTAACACTAATCCCTCTGACACACAGCTGGACACTTCCCTTCCAACTCTGGTTGGTCTGTCAGACAGTTTTCAGGCTATGCAAACTCTTTGGATTTTGTCCACAGAGTAAGATTTTTGAGAGAAATTGCATCAAATGTTATCTCTTGTCACTTTTTCCACCAATGATTAAGTTCATTTTTAAACCCAAACAGTTTATCTGATGTCTTGTTCATTATTCATTTCTTCTTTGATTGCAGTTTTGCCTTAGTTTTTTCCTAACACTAATTTTTCTTCTATCTTGTCTATGATTTGTTTCTGTTGTCTATATTTAGCTTCTATATTGTGTGTCAATGTCCAGCAAATATTTGCCAAGATTCTCTTCCTTGTTTGAAAACCAGAAAGGAAGTACATGTAAATATTTTTTTTAAGTCTAGTAAAATGCTTCAGAATGCAGAGTAAGATTAGCTAACGTCACAGTAACTTGCCCACAGTAGTAAGCCTGAAAGAGAAATGAGGAAGGAGAACTAACTCTTCTTGTGTAGATTTCCTGGAAAAACTTTTAAAAGGTGCCTTACGTTTGTTTGCTATCCTCACTAATTCTTTAAGAATTCCTTAAGATATTGAAACGTATATCAGATAGACATGTTTATTTGGTGTTTCCAGGTATGATTTTCTTTTTCAAAGTATGTTCTTCATTAACGTTTTTGAGTACTTGCTGATCAACTCTTTGCAGATGTTTCCAGTTGTTCCTTCTCCTTATGCATTTCTACATGCCAACATTTTATTAATGTCTCAGAATTATGTTTCTGGTAGTCTGTTACTCATACGTTGCCATAGTGTCTGTGTTCATTTCTTGGTTTGAAGTCTAATACTTTCTGATCAGAGGCACCAGTCATCATTATATAGAATCATAGAATCATAGAATGGTTAGGGCTGGAAGGGACCTTCAAAGGTCATCTAGTCCAACCCCCCTGCAAGGAACAGGGATATCTCCAACTAGATCAGGTTGCTCAGGGCCTTGTCCAGCCTGGCCTTGAACGTCTCCAGGGATGGAGCATCCACCACCTCTCTGGGCAACCTGTTCCAGTGTTCTACAACTCTCATTTGTTCCTTCTCCTTATGCATTTCTACATGCCAACATTTTATTAATGTCTCAGAATTATGTTTCTGGTAGTCTGTTACTCATACGTTGCCATAGTGTCTGTGTTCATTTCTTGGTTTGAAGTCTAATACTTTCTGATCAGAGGCACCAGTCATCATTATATCTGCACATTCCTACTCCTGCCGTTTTGCTGGAGTTCTGTACTGTTGGCCTCTCTGCTGAAATCCTTCTTCTCCGGATAACAACATTGCTGACAAAATTGAGTCTCAGAGATGTGTTTTAAAAATATTTGTCTGAGGAATTGAAGACATACTGTGAAGGCAGTAATAGAAGTGAAGCAGACCTTTCTGATAGGTCCCTCATTATTAGTTTGTAGCCATTAAAGGCAAGATTTTTCAAAAATGAGAGCCAAAACGATGGGTACCATAAGAATTGGACTGACATTCAAAAGTGCTTAGTGCTAAGCAACTGGTGTTCGCTTAAGTGGCTTGATATTTTCCACTGCCTTTTGTCATGTATTAGAGATAATTTTTCTTTAACTCAACAGTTCCTTTGATTCTTATCTTAGGGTCCCAGAAATGTATATAATTTGGGGAAATGGTGGAGACAGGCAATAAGTGAACAATATGAATAATACTACTGAGTTTTGTCACCTCTGCAGATAGTTTAAGCCAATCTCAAAACCCATGCTGTTTGGCTCTGTTGCCAGCTGAAGACTTACGGACAGTAGTTAAGGTTTCTCCAGTGGTGGTACAAGCATAACAAATTATCTTTACCTTAGACAAATATATATTTTACTCAATTTTATGACAATTTTATCTGAGTTTTTCAGCGTTATTTTGACCACCACCTTTTCTGTGGTAGAATGGTAATCATAGGTATTGAGATATTGCTGTTCCTGAGAATCTCCTGTGACTATCTCCCAAAATTCGTTGTGATTTTGTCAAGAAAATCTTAATTGTCTCCATTCTTGTGTTTCTGGCTGTGGTGCTCCATGTATCTGCCTTCAGTTTTCTGGCTTCTTTTCTGCTGTATAGGAGAGAGAAACAAGAATTTTTGCTTTTTTATACAGTTTTTGTGAATTATCAATGCAGAAACACATGGCATTGTAGGAGACTAGTGAAAACAATGATTTGCTTCAAAACTTGAAGTTATTTGCTAGCCACAGAGTTTTCATAATCAAATTTATTGATTTATTTCAATAAACTATTTTAGAAAGTTTGAAGCTATTATTCGAAAAATTGTGAAAGATGCTGGCTGCAGGCAGATTGTCATGCATGTATGTTCAGTGCCTGCTTGACCCGAGTGTCAGAATGGAAAGATAGGAGACAATAGTCCGTGCTGATGCATTTAAATGGAGAAGTTGGATTATGTCTCTTCAGCAATACACTGTGAATAACAAGCCTCGGCACAGGGCTGGTGCACCTGTCATTGCTGGAGGGCAAAGAGGCAAGTGGTTCCAAAGGGAACTGACTTTTTTCTTTCAGGCATTGAGTCAATCTCATATCCTAAGGCACACATTCTGCGTTAAAATTATTATAACTCTCTTGGTATTATGCTGAACAACAGACTCTGGTGAGAATCTATGGAAAAACCCATAAAGTAGTGGTGATGATGGTCTGTGTATTGTTTTTAATTAAGCCCTTATAGGAAGTATATTCTGTAGTTTTGAAACGCATCACTAAAACAGTTAAGTTCTTTTCTGATTAAGCTAAATTTCATTGCAGTTTGCAATAAAATTTTGAAATGTTATTTGTCTGGATTGGCAGCTCACTGGATACCAAAACATAAATGGCAATATTTATCACTAAATGTGATTCACAAAAAAACTGCATCCTTTTAGATAATGTAATATATAATGCAGTGTATATCCACTGTCTGTTACCTCAGCAGAATTTATATCTGTAAGATCTGATTTACAAATAGACAACTTTCTGTTAAATTATTCACATCTCATAATAATTGATCTTACAGAGTTGATCTTATGCTAGAACATATTTGATCATAAATTCAATGAAAGCAGCCACCATCTTTGTGATGTTTGTCCAGCTAAATCCTTCAGTGAATAAAATAATAAAGATGCCAGCTGTGTTTGTTTTATGATCACTGCTGCAATAGGAAGCTGGAAATACAAGTGAATAAAAGCTCTTAATTTTTCAAGTTGGATTTATGAACTTGGAATCTTACTGTAAAGAGTTTAAATGGAAAAAATGAAATTTTTACTTTGTCACATTCTCAAAAATGTATTGTTTGCCTTTTTTGGTTCCTGTTGTTTAGGAATCCAGAATAGTTTTAAAATATTGCTATTGTTTGGACCCGAACTTAAAAAATGAAGGAAATCTTGTAAAAATAGGTGAAATTTATGCTTTTCTCTCTGACACTGTTGCAAGTTAAGAACACACCATCATTTTTGCATTTCCGCCTTTGGTTAGATTCTGTAGCAATCTTAAAGCTCAGTTCACTGCTGTGTACTGTTAGCATGCCTCAAACTAATTTCACCACCCTGATATAAAAAAATCATACTCTGGATTATTATTGCCCTTCCTTCAGCATTATGACTTTTGTAGAATAGTGTTATATTCCTTTTATTTCTTTCATATTTGATCCTTAAAGTGCCCTTGAGTCAAG